TGTCCACTTGGTTCCACCGCTGGACCAACCGCTCCACGTGCAACAGTCCACCGCATGCACGGTTTCATCACCATCGGCAACGAATTCGGCAGCTTCCCCGCAACCTATCGCCGGGGATTCAACGTCATGGTCAAGACTTGAAGAGCTCGACGCATTGACGTTCACATTCTTCCAGTGGATGCCCGTTCCCTCGACCGGACGATTGTCGAAACCGCATTGCAACGTGCTTATGGCACAATTGCGGGACTACTTGCACACTGCAGTACCAGCTCCGTTGATGGACGCCGGAGCAGAGGTTGTCGACCTTCACGCTTTCATCGCGAAGATCGACCGCGAGTTCAAGACGCAACGGTACGACGACATCGACGCACCATTGCTATACATAGCATTCAGATCGGAGAGGCGACCTGCAGAGCCTTGATCGATTGCGGAGCATCTCACAACTACATCAGCCAGGACTTCATGGTACGCACCGGCCTTGGCCCACGTGTCCGGAAGAAGAACAAGGACCTGCGGTTGTGCATCGATTATCGCAAGCTCAACGCGCAGACGATCAGGAACGCCGGCCCTCTCCCACGCATCGATGATCTTCTCGAGCGATTGGGCGACGTCCAGTTCTTCTCCAAGTTGGATCTCAAGTCAGGGTACCACCAACTCGAGATTCGCAAGGAGGACCGTTACAAGACCGCGTTTAAGACGCGATATGGGCATTTCGAATGGCTGGTCATGCCATTTGGCCTTACGAATGCCCCGGCCACTTTCCAAGCGGCTATGACAACGGAGTTCCGACACATGCTGGATTGTTACGTACTTATCTATCTCGACGACAAGCGGCTACGACAGGCCAAGTACAAAGCCAATCGCGACAAGTGTGAATTCGCGCGGCAGGAGCTGGAGTACTTGGGCCATTATGTGATGCCGCAAGGCATCCGTCCGCTCGCGGACAAGACCGAGGCCCTACGAGTATGGCCCGAGCCCACCAACACCACGGACGTTCGTTCATTCATGGGGTTGGCGGGCTACTATCAGCGATTCATCACCGGATACTCCAGGATTGCTGCACCTATGACGAGGTTACAGTCGCCAAAGGCGCCATTCGTATTCGATGACGACGCACGCCGGTCATTCCAAGCACTTAAGACGACGATGCTCATGGCACCCGTCCTTAGCATCTATGACCCCACCTTGCCGACGAGAGTGACTACGGACGCTTCCAGCTACGGCATTGGGGCAGTCTTGGAACAGCACGACGGCGACGACTGGCACCCTGTGGAGTATTTCAGCCACAAAGTGCCTCCCATCAACTCGCTTGATGATGCAAGGAAGAAGGAGCTACTCGCGTTCGTCATGGCTCTCAAGCGATGGCGGCACTTCCTCCTTGGGCGTCGTAGGTTCACATGGGTTACAGACAACAATCCATTGACCTACTACAAGATGCAGGATACGGTGAGCAGCACGATCGGACGATGGATGTACATCATCGACCAGTTTGACTTCACACCGAAACATCTACCCGGCCTCTCAAATCGCGCAGCAGATGCGCTCTTGCGAAGACCAGATCTTCGCACTATGACACATCATGCCTTCGCATTGGACGAGGAGCTTCAGCGACACTTCATCCGGGCATATCAGTCTGATCCGGACTTCGACACGCTCTGCTCACAGCTATCTTCGGATCACCCGCCGGCCAGCCATTATCGCATTGTCGACGGGTACTTGCTCCTCCACTCGAGAGGCAAGGACTTACTATGTGTCCCACGCGACCGTCGTCTTCGGACTCGCCTTCTCGGCGAGTAYCAYGATTCACGACTCGCCGGCCATTTCGGAGTCAACCGCACTATTGCACGGCTTCGATGGCGATTCCAATGGCCCGACCTCATTACCGATGTCACTCGGTATTGCGATTCTTGCAAAGTTTGCCGACGCAGCAAGCCCCGCAACCGCAATCCCTACAGCGAGTTACACCCGATGACTATCCCACGGGAACCCGGTCTCTCCATTGCCATGGACGTCACCGGTCCGTTTTCTCGCGACCGGCTCCGGCACGACGGCATCCTCACGGTTGTGGACCGATTGAGTAAGTACGCTCGCTCTCTCCCTTGCAAGTACTACTCCACGGCTCCCGAGCTGGCACGCCTCCTGCACACTGGTTGGATTTGTGGCCACGGTGTACCAGAAGACATTGTCAGCGACCGCGACACTCGTTTCATGTCGGCGTTTTGGACGGCTCTCATGCAGGAGTCCGGCACAACAATGAAACCAAGTTCGGCTCGACACCCGCAGACAGACGGGCAGACGGAGCGGGCACATCAGACCGCTCAAATGATGCTTCGTACGCTCATCCGTCCGGACCAGAAAGATTGGGTTGACCGCCTCCCCGACATCGAGTTCGCCTACAACACTTCGGTGCATCCGGCGATCGGCGTGACTCCATTCGAGTTGCACCACGGTGGACGGAAAGGCCGGATTTTCGCCGACCTTCTCCTCCCTCGACCAGCCGGCCTTGACGCTGCCTGCTCTCCTGCTTCCGTCCGGAAGCACAGGGAATTGCTGACTCAAGCCCACGCAAATATGCAAAAGCCTCAAGTCCGCATGCAGCAGCAAGCCGACAGGCGTCGCCTACCATGTCCCATCCGCGCCGGTGATCTGGTTTGGGTCTCCGCGGAAGAGTTTGCACTGGAACAGGATGTTTCACGCAAATTGCTTCCCAAGTGGTTTGGACCTTGGTCTGTGACAGCAGCAGCGGGCGATGAGCCCGATCGCCCTTCATTTGTGATCAATATTCCAGAGCATCTGAAGGTCCATCCGGTCTTCCACGCCTCAAAGCTGGCAACATACACGCCATCCAGGAGCGACGACTTTCCGGACCGACGATCGCAGGACCCTCCTATGGATGGCCATTAGGAAGTTGACCGCGTCATCTCCGATCGCAAGTACGGCAGCAAGCCGCGGCAGTACAAAGTCACATTCAAAGCATGCGATCGCGACGACACTTGGTGGATTTCAGGCGCAGATTTGAAAGCATCCGCACCRCTGATCTACGCGCATTATGAAAAGCGGAGGTTAGCTCAGGAAGCTTCACGACCAGCCCCTCCCACCCGGACTGTGGTCCCTCCCTCAGACAGACAGCTTCGCCCTCGCAGGTAAGCTCGGTTCTTCAAGGAGGAGGGGGTGTGGCATACTGCGTAGCCACACGGGCCCTGCAGGGCCCGTCCCGAACATTCAGCCTAAAAGCCTAAAACTTAGGGCTTACAGGCCCCGTTCGTTTCAGCCTGAAAGCTGAAAAACGAGGGCCTGCAGGCCCTACCCCGTTTCAGCCTATTTCTGAGTCTTTTCAGACCCAGAGTTTTCAGCCTGAAACGGAGGGCCATTTTCAGGCCCTCATTGTTTCGACCTGCTTCTAAGACTCAGGCACGTAAACAGGGATGCGGAACAGGCCAGAAATAGCCTGTTCCTCACGAGTTCGAGCAGGAGCTGCAGCTGCAGCCCCTGCCTCCCTTCGGCAGGCTCAGGAGGCACACCCGGTAGTACATAGGAAGTTCCCATGCACTTCACGGGTAGGTAGTTCAGTAGGCACGAGGTAGTCTTCAGGAATTCGGCCGCAGCACTCAGGAGGAGCGCTGCAATAGTCTTCAGCGCTAGGTAGGATTAGCGCTAGCTGTAGTCTTCGGCGCTGGGCGCCATAGCTGTAGCTGTAGTCTTCAGCGCTGGGCGCTGGTAGGTGGTAGATCGCAGAGTGGGAGAGAGACTGGTGGAGGCCAGTGGTACTTACCTGTGGCGCCATCGCTCCAGCTCCATCTTCGTGGTACCTGCATCAAGGCGCCAACTTCACAGGTTAGTACTGGACACACAGAGAGAGAGACAGTTCTTCTTCTTCCTCCTCTAAGTCCACCTTCTCTTCTCACCCTCTCGCCACCTGACTTCTCAGACTACGACAGAGAGAGACAGAGTTGTGACTTGAGACTTGACGACATTGGATCCAGACTTGACATTTGGGATTCAGACATTCCGACGAGGGACTATTTGGGCTTGTGCCGAAGACTTGGTGTTGAGGACATTCCCATCTTCCCCCTCCTCTTTGTCTATCCCCTTCCTCTTCGTCTGTGTATGGTATGGGCTGGCGCAGTCTTCCTGTGTGAAGCGCCAGGCCCATTTCACACCTGTCTCTTATACACATCTAGATGTGTATAAGAGACAGGTTGTGACTTGAGACTTGACGACATTGGATCCAGACTTGACATTTGGGATTCAGACATTCCGACGAGGGACTATTTGGGCTTGTGCCGAAGACTTGGTGTTGAGGACATTCCCATCTTCCCCCTCCTCTTTGTCTATCCCCTTCCTCTTCGTCTGTGTATGGTATGGGCTGGCGCAGTCTTCCTGTGTGAAGCGCCAGGCCCATTTCACACCATGTAACGATGATGATGATGATGTATGTTCAGGGCTGCATTTCAACATTGATTGTTCAGATCACTGGTATCTAAGTCTTCCGTTGTGCTATCTTATACTTTGTATTGACAGGTCGGTTCTTGTTCTGGTCTGCACGTTACAGTATGCAACAGGGTGGCTGGGTTCAAGGGTGTGTGTACCGCAGGGTTGTGAGGGTTTAGCGGGGGTTTATGCCATAGTTATATAGGTATCTAGGACATAGGATTAACACGATCATAGGCGCGGACAAGTTTCATGGCGTTCTTAAGATTAGAGAGAGGTTACCATGTAGATTCTTCGTCGGGGTATCCGGTCCATTTGACTTTGTATTCAGTGATTGGTTCCGGATGATCCGATACCTGAGTGGTTCATCGGCCGATGATGGTTTCGACAACGAATTCAGGGCCTGTGGGTAGCATGATCAGTGGAGGTCTAGGATATGGGCCGTCGGCGAACTGGGGCGGGGATTCATGGTATTCTTTTAGGTACTCGACATGGAAGACTAGGTGGACACGACTCATGTCAGGGGGAAGTTGAAGTTTTGACGGGGGAGGTTTGTTCAATGATGGGGAAGGGACCGAGCCATTTGTTGAGAGTTTCTTGGACAAGCCGTGTTTGGGTTCAAAGCGTTTGGCGGAGAGCCAGACTTTGTCCCCTTTGAATGACACGTCGCGTCTATGTTTGTTAGTCTTGTTGGCTTGTTGTTCTTGGGTTCGTTCAATGGCTTCGGAGGCTTCTCTCAGGAGTCTGTTCATTGTTGCTACCCTTTCATTGAGAGAGGGGCAGGGGGTGGATTGGTTAAGCTGCGAAGGAAGCAAGAAGTCAGAGAGCAAGCAAGGGTGGTAGCCAAGGTCGAGGTAGAATGGAGATATGCCGGTGGAAGGGCAAACAGCGTTGTTGTAGGCAATCTCGGCGGCTGTGAGCAATTGATCCCAATCGTGTTGGTGTGTATGACAATACTTCCGCAGGATTCTTTGGAGGGTATCGTTCATCTTCTTTGTTTGTCCATCGATCTATGGGTGGAATGCAGTGCTATACTTGAGCGTGGTTCCGTAGGCAGTGAAGAGGTGTTTCCAGAATTGTGAAAGGAAGCGAGGACCACGGTCACTGATGATGTTCTCGGGGAGGCCGTGATGGCGAGCAACGTGGTCGAAGAGTGTGGCGACGTCTTTGGCACTATGTGAGGTCGTGCAAGGGATGAAGTGGGCACGTTTGGTCAAGCGGCAGACAATGACGTAGATGAAATCATGCCCGCAGTCGGTCTTGGGGAGGCCGCACACGAAGTCCATGGAGATGGACTGCCACCGGTGAGTTGGGATGGGCAATGATTGGAGCTTGTCGGGTTTGGCCCGGTTCGAGGGGTTGACAGCTTGACACGTGGGGCATGAGCGAATGTATGCTTTGACGTCGGCGAGCAGGGAAGGCCAGTAGAAGTAGCGGGCGATGGTGTTGAAGGTTTTCTGGAAACCGAGGTGTCCTGCGGTCTTGGCGTCGTGGTGCTCGGCCAAGAGTTGAGTACGGAGACCACGTGCGTCGGGGATGCAGAGTCGGCGAGTGCCTTTGGTATCGATGTAGAGAAGGTTGTAGTGAAGGGAGTAGTCGAGGACTGGGTCAAGATCGCGGAGCTTGTTGTGGATGGTGGCGAAGTCTTGGGTGTATCGGTGATGGAGTGATGGGAGGAGTTGGATATAAGTCATGGCGGCGTAGACTTTCTCGGGGGGCTTGTGGTCGGGTCGTCGAGAGAGGGCATCCGCAACGCAGTTCCTTTTGCCAGGGGCATTGAAATGGGCAAGGAAGTCTAGCCAGCGAGCTTGGCGTGAAGTGCTATCCTTCTTCGAGAGGGTGCAAGAGACGATGGTGTTGTCAGTGCGGATGGTGAAGTATTGCTTGTCGAGGTACGGGCGCCAGCCGGTGAGGGCATGAATCACGGCGAGGAGTTCCTTCTCGTTGGAGGGGTAATTCATCTCCGCGGGAAGGAGCTGCTTGCTTGCGAAGCCAATGGGGTATTCGCCAGGTGGAGCCTCGGGGTGAGTGGGCGAGTCCTTGATGGAGGGGGTCTCGAAGGTGTCGCGGGGGAAATGTTGGGACAGTACGGCTCCAATGGCGAAGTCAGAGGCGTCGGTGGTGACATAGAAATGGCGAGTGAGGTCGTCAATCTTGAGGACAGGGGCCGTGGTGATGGTTTGCTTGAGTAAGTCGAAAGCGTGTTAGAGGCGATCGTTCCAATGGAAGGGCTCATCCTTGTGGGTGAGTTCGTGGAGAGGGTAAGAGATCTCGGAAAAGTTGCAATGAACAGGCGGTAATAGTTGTCAAGGCCGAGGAAGGAACAGAGTTGGAGGAGGGTCTTGGGCGGGGGGTACTCGACGAGGGATATGACCTGCGAGGGGTCCATACGGATGCCTTCAGCAGAGACAGTGTGACCGAGGCATTCGATGCTCGAAGCGGCAAACATACATTTGTTGAACTTGTCGTAGAATTTTTTCTCTCGGAGGGTCGAGAGGACATGCTGGAGGTGCTGAAGGTGGGATTCGAAGGTGGGGCTGAAGACAAGGATGTCATCAAGGTAGACAACAACGCAGACTTCGAGGAGGTTGCGGAAGAYGTGGTTCATGGTAGATTGGAAGGTGGCGGGGCCATTGGTGAGTCTGAATGGCATCACGAGGAAGTCGTAGTCCCCGAACCGAGAGCGGAAGGCGGTCTTGTGGGTGTCCTCCTCGCGGATACGGATCTGGCAGAAGCCACTGCGAAGGTCGATCTTGATAAAGTACTTGGCTCCACGAAGACGATCAAGGAGCTCGGAAATCCGAGGTAGGGGGTGGGGGTACTTGTTTTTTATCGCGATCCGGTTCAAGGCGCGGTAGTCTATGCACATGCGGAGTTTCGAAGTTCCACCTTTCTTGACGATCTTGGTAAAGTACTTGGCTCCACAAAGACGATCAAGGAGCTCGGAAATCCGAGGTAGGGGGTGGGGGTACTTGTTTTTTATCGCGATCCGGTTCAAGGCGCGGTAGTCTGTGCACATGCGGAGTTCCGAAGTTCCACCTTTTTTGACGAAAAGGCAGCTGGTTCCGAAGAGGGATGAACTTGGCTTAATAAACCCTTTTTCAAGGAGTTCACTGAGTTGCCATTTCATTTCTTCGGCTTCGGGGACAGAGAGTTGGTATGGAGGGCGGCAAGGTGGAGAATATTCGGGCTCCAAATCGATGGTATGGGATACGCCACGATCCGGAGGTAGTCCAACAGGTAAGGACTCAAGAAAAACGTCCTTGAACTCGTCGAGGATTGAGGTGATGGCGGGGTCAAGGTGGGGGGCTTGATCGGGATTGACCGTCGGGAGTAAGTCCTCGGGACTTTCGCGATCAAGGACAAGACAATAGTAGGCGGAGTCGGGGTTTAGGCGAGCCATGTGGAGGGATTGGTGCGGGGTGATAGAGCCTTGGGAGGTTGGATATGGGAGATAGGGGACGTCGGTGGTTGTATCGGGGGGGTTGGTGAGGTGAAGGAAGTTGGGGTGGAATGCGTGTGGCATGTAGCAGTCCAGCCACGGGGACGATGTCGCACACAAGTGCATGACATCGAACGAGACCGGACTGCGGAAGGTTCCAACGGTCATGGTGCTCTCGGGAACCGTGCGATCTACTACGACGGCGGTGTCTTTGTCCCCTAGGTGAATCGTGATCGGGGAGTCGTAGTCGGTAGAGGTAAGACCGGCTTTGTCGACACACACGTCCATGATGAAGTTAGTGGTGGCTCCAATGTCGAGGAGGGCCCGAAACTTAGTTGTAGACGCACCAAGAGTGACGGCGATGAATTTGAGGTGGAAACGAGATGAGTTGGCGGTGGAGATGATGGTGTTGAGGCGACGTTGTTCGTTGCCTAAGCGGACAAGCCGATCGTGTCGAGCTCGTTCCTCAACAACATCGGAGAAGGTGACAGTGGATGGGTTTGGAAGAAGGGTAGAGGAGCATGGGGCAGTGGGAGGCGTTTGCGATGCCTGGAAGTCGTCCGGTGGAGGGGGCGTCACCGGAGAGGGGGGAGGCAGACGAATTGTCGATGCCAGATCGATGTCCTGGGGACTGTGTTCATGATGAGGAGGGACCTGCGCTTCCCGAGGGCGGTGATGCGGAGGTTGCGGGTCGMGTGGAGGCGGACTGGCAGGTGAATTGTGCGGCATTGGGCCAGTTGGTTTGTTGGTGCCCCAATTGGCGACAACGGAAGCAACCCCCGTTTGCTTGGAGGTAGGTGCGCTCCTCGGGGGTGAGTTTCTTGAGGCGAGAGGGTGGGGTAGATGAGGGTGGTCAGGAGCTGCGATCTCTGCTCTCCATCCTGATGAATTGGACGACATTGAGTTCCTCGGAAGTGAGGGATGAAGAGTCGAGTGAATCAGAAGATGCGTCGGGGTCGGGTGTGGTGAACTCGTCCAAGGAAGTGATGGAGGTGGTGTCTTCAGGGGTGATGTGGTGGAAAAAGAAGGTGCGGGAGGGGGCGGGCGCGGGCTGGTGGTGGGGGTGGAGTCGTCGATCGTGGTGAAGCATGCAAGAAAGGAGGTCAGCAAGGGGCATGTAGGGTTCGTGGGCGAGGGCGGTTGCAAGGTCTTTGTGGCATACTCGTTTGATGCGGGAGATGAACGCAAAGTCGGGAATGACAGTGGTGGGGAGGTGGTGGCGGAGGGAGCGGACGTATTGGACGAAGCGATCCGTGGGACCGGTCTTGCGAAGGTGGCAGAATTGTTCAAGGTAGTCATCAATGGTTTTCTGGGGGCGGAAGGTGGCAGTGAGAAGGTTGGCCCATTGGAGGAAGGAGTGACGTGGCCCTCCGGAGGCTTGACGGTTGCTGACTTCAACCATCCACCATTTGGCGGCATTGCCGAGGAGGCGGGAGGTGGCAATGGGGAGCCAGTGGGCTAGGGGCATGTGGTGGAGGTGAAAACAGTTTTGGAGTTGGGTTAGGAAGAGGAAAACGTCCTCGTGAGGGAGACGTGGCCCTCCGGAGGCTTGACGGTTGTTGACTTCAGCCATCCACCATTTGGCGGCATTGCCGAGGAGGTGGGAGGTGGCAATGGGGAGCCAGTGGGCAAGGGGCATGTGGTGGAGGTGAAAAGAGTTTTGGAGTTGGGTTAGGAAGAGGAAAACGTCCTCGTGGGGGAGGCCGGAGAAGGACATGACGTCGACGGATCGGAAGGAATGGGGGATTTCCCCGTCGTGAGGAACGATCCGGGGGAGGGTGTTGAAGCTGAGGTTATCGGGGGTGGTGTCGTAGCAGGTGTAGTCGAGTTGGTTGTTGTCCTCAAGAAGGTAGTTGGGCGGGAGTTGTGGAATTCCGAGGTGAACCCCGGAGGTGACTTGGGAATAGGTGGGACGAATGGCGAGGATGGTGGAGGTCGTCATGATGGGGTGGGGGAAGGGTATGAGAGTGCGAGGGAGGAAGACGGGAAACGTGGATGGGCGAGGAATGAGGGGGTGTGTTGGATGCGCCGGATGAGGGAGGAGGTGGGGGGGACGAAATGGTGGTGGATGATGAGGGGGGGGGAAGGGTTGAAGAGGAAGGGTTGGTGGATGTGGTGGTAGAGGTGGTAGGAGTGGAGGAGGTCGGTGGGGGGGTGTTGCTGGAGGCGGCTGTGGAGGAGGGAGTAGTTTGTGTTGTGGAGGAGGGAGGGGAGGCCGTGGTGAAGACCGTGATGGAGGGGTTGTTCCCTTCGAGCGTGGTAACGCAGTCGGATATGGGCAACATGGTGGCCTTTATGTTGTTGAGAGAGGCGGTGACTTAGGTTTGGAAGGTGTTGAGTGTGTGGAGGATGGCGGAGAGGTCGGAGGTGGCGGTGTTTGCTGGTGGTTGTTCGCCTGCGAGGTTGCGGGCAATGGTATCGACCGAGTCGGTGCGGATATCAGACATGTTGATGGAGGATGCGGCCATGTCGGGGGAAGAGGGGGTGGACGACGCGGTCGGAACGGATGTGGAGGATGCAACAGCAGCGGTGGCGGTGGCAGCAGCGGCGGCGGCACGTTGGGAGTTCTTGGTTTGGCGTGGCGGCATGTGGAGGTAGGGGGGGCAATCCCTTGTTTATTTATCAATCAATTCAAAAATAAAAATAATTGCCAAGATTTTTTCTTTTTTCTTTTTTTGGGAAAGTACGGAGTTACTATTGAATAAATTTATTCCTGATTGGAATTTTATTTATTCCAAATTAATTTGGGTAGAACAAAATTTTGAAGGATCCGAACGAGAGATTTACAAAATTCGTTGTTCAAAATAAAAATAATTGCCAAGATTTTTTTATTTTTATTTTTTTTGGGAAAGTACGGAGTTACTATTGAGTAAATTTATTCCTGATTGGAATTTTATTTATTCAAAATTAATTTGGGAAGAACAAAATTTTGAAGGATCCGAAGGAGAGATTTACAAAATTCGTTGTTCAAAATATTGGAAGAAAATAAGTTTGAATTTATTTCAAACTTTAGTTACGTAAAATTTCAAAATATTTTTGAATTATAGAAAAAGAATTAGGAGGGGGAATGTAAAATTTTTCGTTGAAATTTTGTGTGAGGAATGAGCCCTCAAGAAGGGGCCTTGCCATGATGTACATGTTCTGGGTTAAGGCCCCAACAAGCCTCGTGCCCGCCCTAAGTGAAGGCGGGCCAGCAAATCAATAATAGCCCTTTGTACATACATTTCACGAAAAGGGGTCCTTACAGTTACAGCACGCCAGTTGGTTGGAGTGCACCGAGTTTCGGATCTCAGCAAATGCTGAAATGCCCAGGGCCTCTGAGTTAGTTAAGCCCTGGGCTCCTGAACGTGAGGCCGACAATGCACGCTGGGTATAGAGGCCGAAAATGCAAAGGGAAACCGGCCCACTGTCTGAATCTGGCCGCGGGCCTTGACGAGAGAGGCACAACTGCATCTCCCGCGCCCCAACTGTAATGGGACTGGGTTCAACCACTGGGGCCCTGTCGCGGGCTGAAGGGAGGCCGCCCACACGCAGCACTGGCATATAGGCATGCAGGGCGAGGGGGCTGGGATCTTGGCCAATGCTGGCATTGCGGGCACGCTGCGTGGATGCAAGTGTGCTGCGCTATGCATGAGCAGCGTTGCGCTAAGGGGAAGTACCTGGTGATGGTGGAGGTCGGCATTGGTGTTGACATCATCACTCGCTGGTAGTCAAGTTGTCTGGTTGCTTTCATTGTTGTAGTTGTAGGATAGGTTGTAGAGTAGATAGGGCGCCTGGCGCCATTCACAAGAGAGAGCTACATTTGGGTTATGCTGTTGGTGTTGCCCTGTTGGGCATGGACATTGATTCACGATTCTTCTGTATCATTCTCAATTGGATGGTTACTCGGTTCCATTGTACTATCTGCTTTGGCTTTGAATACTTGGACTTCAGTGCGATATTGCATTCTGGATTTCTTTGCTTCGTCCATACTCATGTTCCTTGCAATTTGGTATCGGAGCTGGTTTGATCGCCACTTACCTTCGGCATGCTGGCGTTATACAGACTTGGTGCGTTGACGATGCTTCTTCGCAGTGGGTACTTGTGACGTCAGGCCACRTTAGGTGCACGCCCYGGGTAGAGAGGGGTGCACCGGAAGGCTATTACGGCAGTGTGTGCCGTGGGATACAGCGGAATGTTTGATTGATGATGAGAGCATGCTGATGTGGCATTGGACTAAGCTGGCACTGCATTGCGTTGTGGGTGGTACCGAGGTCATGACCGGTCATCAAATGCAACATCGGCTCAATTGGTGAGAAATATGTGGTTGGGGGCAGCTATCTTCAGGTATGTTGATCCCTTACCTTATCTACCTTCCCAATCTCTTCTTACCGTGAGGAATTGAGTCCAACTTGAGAGTCCTCTCCTTGGTGAGGTGTCGTGAGCGCGCTACCTTGAGAGACGACAATCTTCCCGGAAGCATCTGGAAGGAGAAAGGGCGGTGCCTCTGAAGAGCCCTAGTCGAAGCACTGGGTCATGGTCACCATGCCAACCCACAGGGAGTAGTGCACGCATGCGATGGCTGTTGTCCTTATTGGCACTTGCTGCGCTAATAGAAGTTCCTCCGGGTGTGCCAGCCCATGACAGACGCTTACCAGACCGTCTATAAATATTTCTGGTTGGGAGTTCATTGTGAATCTGGCTATGATCGTCGTCCCGACTGCGACGTTAAAGAATTCCTCAAGAGATGGGGGAGCTCTATAAATACCTCATGATCAGCCAGATCACATGGAAAGGAAGGCTCGTCGCCGTACGAGGGTAAATAAGAGTGGTTGGGTTGGCTTGCTCGGTGACCACTTGGGCACAGGGGTGGGCCGATACACACACGAAAACACTGCTTTGCTCAAGATGTTGTTCGGTATGTTGGATTGAGGGGAGGGCAGGTTCCAATTGGTGCTCAACTGTGTACACAACTATACCCATCAATCCTACATCTGCTACATCGTCTTTTGTACTTTTGATTAGTTGGTGGACAGACTGCTAACACCTCACAGACAGACTAGAGTAGGACTGAAGTATACTACCATAGCCAATTCTATCTTTTGCTGCTGTAAGTGAACAAGTCAAAGTGCATTTAGACTATGTAGACAATCTGTGTGAATGTTGTAGACATGCCACTTGATCGGTACAGTAGGGGACTTGCCGGACACAACCATTTCTAGAAAATTAGGTGTCGGTCAGACACATGCTGCGGTAGGATTCCACTAGGGGATTCTAGTGCAGACAATGTTTGCCTAATTCATGAACGGATCAGACGTCGACGAGGAGGGTGTTGACGATGGTAGACTAACACGTGCAAGATCAAGTAGGATCCCGTACGTGTTCACGACCCTAGACGAGGGAGAAGAAAGACGGCTTCGTTCCGAACGCAGAGCCCGTGCTCTCGCAGCATCAAGAGCAGCAGCAAACGTTGCCGCTAGGGAACAGGCTGCAGCAGCAGCCAGGGCAGCAGCCATGACTTCTGCAGCAGCATCCTCCGCTGCAACTTCTGTTGCGTTCTCGTCTGGACTCCAGTTTGGAATGCCAACAGGGTCCGCGGGCACTTCCAGTTCATCAGGTTCTAGACAGTCTACAAGTCAAATGGCGGGCTCGCAGACTCCTCGCGAAAGGGAGATGAGGGAGCTCCAGCAGGTCGAAAGGATCCCTGCACAATTAGAGAAGGAACTAAAAGAAACTACCCATAGAGAAAAAGAGAAAGAATAGAGCAGCCAGGCTTGAAACGTTAGAGTCTTACAAGGCTGACTTGGAGGGCTTAGATGACTCAAGAATGAATGAGCCCATGAAAGTGTTGAGGAACAACGTGCTGTCGCTGCATGCGCATGTGGACAGCAGGTTGGACTTCATGCAGGAGCACTTTGGACCAGATCCTGGACATCCTAACAAGGCCAGGATTTAGGCCACCAGCACAATCGTCGTTGCCGTTATCGGCGATGTCAGGCCCTTTTCCAGTTCAAGCTGGTGCACAGCCTAGTGGTACGTCTGCAGCAGCCGCACAGACTGTTGCATCTTCTTCTTCGGGTCCAGCGGTGATAGCTACATCACCGCAACAACCTGTTCAGCAACCTCGACAGACGCAAGGTCAATGGTATCCTAAGACCCCGATAAAACCGCCTCTTGCCTTCTCAGGCGAGAGAAAGGACGAGGAACTCAACACATGGTTGAGAACGGTCCCGGTTTGGGTGAAGGCAAAGAGGACCCTGCCTGAGGACGAAGTGGTAACTATTGCATCCTACCTTGAGGGTAAGGCAGCCAAGTGGCTAGATGGAGTAGTTGTAAAGGCCGGGCACGGGCGACGCATGGCAGACTGGGCTAAGTCTTTGACGTTAGACCAGTTCATGGAGATGGTAGAAGCTCGATGGCATAATCCACACGAGGCACAAAAGGCCATTGATGCCATTAACAAACTAGACCAACGAAAGTTCAGGTCAGTTAGAGAGCTTACGACTACCGTTGAGAGCCTGATCCTCGTCCCAGGCATCAACTACAGTGACCAGTTCCTGTTAACAACGTTTGTTAGATGTTTGCTAGAGAACATCACGAACTTGCTGGCCAGCGAGGCACGCACGGAGTATCATTCGTTTGAGACATTGTCTAGGAAGGCTTTAGATTTGGAGGCCACTCTAGGCAATGCTCAACCCACCTCACAGGCTGACTCAAAGAAGAAGAAGAGTCCTCAGGAGTGGAAGAAGAAGGGCGCAAAGTTGATGATGGTTGAGTCTGATGGGACTCAAACTGAGATCGATGAGCTTTCTGACCTGATGGACTACTCAAAGTATGACGAGAAATAGGAAGTTGAGGGTAGCACCCTCGCCGCAATAGTTAAGACTAAGGCGGCAGGCCGAGGAAAGGGCCAGCCTAGGGGTCAAGGGAAGGCCGCCTCCAATCAGACCAAGCAGGCTGAGTGGGTGAAGGCAGGTCTTGAACAAGACGTGTGGCGTGACCGCCGAACGCGTGGTGCTTGTATCAACTGCGGGGAGTACGGACACTCGCAGTATAAGTGTCAGAACGCTAAGGTTACGCAGAAGGTAGCTCCAAAGATGGGGGCAACCTACTCCCAGGCTTCTAGCTCGGGAAACGCGTAGGGCCAGTGGAATTATTAGCCGCTTCGACTCGAGATGAGGTGGGATTGATACCCTCCCCACTTCATGACAAGGCCAAGGCTAATGACCCCTTAGTCACCCCGCAGGCACAACTAGACCTAACTATGCTCTGTACGTTAGATGTGTCTGAAGCCTTAGAAGACTTAGAGAGTGAGTGGTCAAAGAAGGACCCTCGTGAGTCTTGGGTGGCGCTAAGGAAAGGTCCTAAAGGGGAACATTTCGTGGTGGAGGTCGATGTAGGAGGCCGCAAATGTGGTGCCTTCATAGACATAGGCTCCACGCGGAGTTACATAAGTCGCGACTGTTTGGAAAGGTTGCACCTACAGGACCGGGTACGGCACCTTAGTAGACTTGTAGCATCTACTTTGGC